GATGGCAGAAGAGATCGCACTGATTTATAACAGATTTATTCAAGACATGTACCATCTACCTGCAAATGAAAAAGGGCCTAAACTTCCCTAGGAAGTACAGTCTGCTCTGTCCTTTGTAGATGGCTTTACAGTTAAGTCCTCAGTCTAGTTTGTCCAAGTGAACCCCAAGGTATTTATACTCCTCAACTACCTCCATTTTCTCATTTGATTTTAACTGGTTTCAACTTGATTCTGTTCTGAAATTTCAAAATCATCTCCCTTTTTTTGTTGACATTCAGACACCATGCCATTAAGAGGTTCATTAGCTCTCTGTTCTCAGCTTCTTGTTCATCCTTGATCCACCAAATGACTGCAGAGTCATCCAGTATTTCTGTCCGGTACTGAAAATCTGACGTGCACGGAGTGAAAAGGAATGGAGAGAGTACCGTCCCCTGTGGCGCTCCTGTGCTGCTGACAACTTAATTAGACAGCTGACCCTTCAGTCTAATAAACTGTGGTCTTTTTGTCGGGTAGTCTTTGATTCAGGCAATTGTTGCTGCCTCCACCTGAATCTTCTGAGGTTTCTCACAAAGTCAGTCAGGCTGAATCATGTTAAATATTCTGCAGAAATCAAAGAACATGATCCTCACAGAGCTGTCTGCCTTTTCTAAATGACAGAGGGTTTGCTGAAACAGGTTTATGATGGCATCATCAACTCTACAGATGTCACTACTTTATAGGACCAGAATTTGCTCAAATTAAAGCTGCAAGACTTTTGGGATACACCTCTTCTTCCGACTATATCCATCAAGAGACTTAATGATTTCTTCTTTCTTATATAGCTCGACCTAAGTCAGACGGGATGGAGAGCAACTCTGAACACATTTCCAGCTTTCCAGCAGGGTTCACAGTTGGTTTTATGTACTTTAACTCGTGCTAAGGCATTACCATACATGACCCGTATTGTTGCTTTAAGCTGTATGATTTGAGTCTAGATGAAAAAGCTCCACCTCTATCTGAAGTCCTTTACTGCCTCTAACTGGTTTTCTTACACCATTTCTCTATATTTAGCTCCACCCATCTTCCCATATATTCTGATCATAAGCAATCCCAACAATGATATTTCCACCACCTTACTTCATCAATGGTATGCTTTCTCTGTGGTGTATAGTATTTTATATAAGACCAAGCACTTTTAGAATCTGCCCCTACATATGGCAAACCTCAGGTGCATTACCACTGGCCTGTTGGTTGCTTCGGCCACCAGTGGTCTCTTACAAGCTGTGCCAGCTTTACAGTTGTGATATTCATTTTTAATTTTGAGGTGATAGCCTGATTAAAGAAGACTCATATGTTTAAGGCCTGGGATATTGTTCTATGACTTTAACTTTACTCCTTTAGGATGCATCATTCCCTAAAAAGCTCTAAGGCTTTCTCTGAGCAGCTGGTTTTATACTGACATGAAATCACACAGGTGGACTCCGTTTACCAAGTGAACACCATTTAACCATTCTGGGTGACATTATTTAAGGGTGTCAGGATAAAGGCAGTTTAACAAGAATGTATAGGAATAACATTTAATTTTCCTAGATCAAATGATTAAAGTGGGTAACACTGTTGCTTTGCAGCAATAAGATACTGGGTGCAATTCCCAGCCCGGGGTCTTTCTGTATGGATTCTCTCCAGGTACTCTGCCTTCCTCCCACAGTCCAACAAGGATGACTGTAAGGTTAATTGGCTTCTCTAAAATTGTCCTTAGGTGTGAGTGTGTGCGTGCGTGGTTGTGTGTCTCTGTGTTGCCCTAATCCTACCCCTGCAACAGACTTGTGACCTGTTCAGGGTGTACCCCGTCTCTCGCCCATAGACTGCCGGAGATAGGCACTGGCCCCACCGCGACCTCAACAAAGACTAAGTGGGAGAAAATAGATGGATGGTGATATCTATAATGTCCAAAGGCTTAAGAGAACTTGGAGAGTGTTTTAACAGCAGGGCAAGCGTTGCTGTCTCCCTGTTTTTAAGGCCACTTGTCTGAATTGTATTTGCATATCAGCCTCACAGAAGATTACTGGTCATATTGGTAAATAACTGGGCTGGAAAACTAACTTAATGCTTTTAGATTATGGTTCAAATGAAATGGTGCCTCGTCAACCCCTGACCCCTCTATGGAATGCATTATATTCTCCACTGCATAAGTGAAAGGTGCATTAGTAAAAAAAAATCAAGGATGCATGAGATGGGATGCACAGCTGTGCTGCTGATAAGAGTGCACATCAAAGGATGTCAGACAGACTGGCGCAGGTCACAAGGAGGATGGATTACATTAAAGGAGGGCAACAGACCCACCTCCATTTTACTGTCTGTGTGCCTAACACAGAAACCATACACCTCTCCTTTAATTATTCAACACATGCAAATATCTCTCTGTCTGACAGAGAAACTTGTCTATGACATCCACTTTCAGAGTGGAAACTTTCAAATGCTACAAGAAATAAATGGGCCTTATTTAATATTCCAACCCATGAGTCTGCAAGTCTGAGGAACAGATTTATGTAAAAAAAAGAAAAAAAAAAAAGAAAAAAAGATAAAAGCCTGGACTCAGAAAAGATAAGCTGGAACAGTTTACAAGGAGAAAAATCAAGTCTTACCTCTTATGCGTTTTTTCTAAGTCCAAGGTGAACCGCAAGGGTGATATCATAAATAAACTAAACAGAATAACATTGGTCTCCCTTTTCTCCCATAACACAGTGACAGATTAAAGCCACCAGACTGTCACCAGAAGCCAGGATCGATTAATGGAGCGCAGGCAGCCCGCAGCAGGTCGGACCCGTCGGTTCTGGATGTCTCGTCACGTTGCAGTCAGGACGGGGAGCCGTCACGCGTCGTGCGCCCGGACCTGTGCATGTTGATTCTTGGAGCTAAAATGGAAACCAGTGAGTACAGACTGCAGCGTCCTGATCCTTCCTGCTGGCTGAGTGCAGCGGAGTTGCTGGAGTCGGAGCAGATGCGCGAACAGCGGCATCCCGGCTGCTGTACCTCACCTACCGGGCTGCACCTCTCCATCCCTCCCTCCATCCCTCCCTCATCCACGGATGCTGGGGGCGGGCAGAGAAATTTAAAGCTGCCAAAGTACAGAAACAACAGCGCATCTGTCCTGCGGGGGACGCTTTAATCCGATAACTGTGCGTCACTGATTGGTTGCATTGATCAACATATCAATAAACTATGATTAGTTTCTTCGGCTATAACAGTGTTATAAACTTTATGCACCAGGGAAGTTCATGCATCTAAATGACAACATTTAATACCAAAATCTGCAGCATTAAACATTTTTTTATTCCTCTATATTCAATTCTATATAGTAGCAACACATTAATCATCCCAAATTAAAGTATTTTTTTAAACCTATTATGCATGGGCGTAGGTTTGCATAGGGACCATAGGGACATGTCCCTACCAACATTTTGGACCGACCTACTTGTCCCTACCAACAATAACATGTGAATAGCATGTTTATCATTTACAATACAGCATTGTTGCAGCAGTAGAGGAGTTCAGGATGGAGAATATTGACAGGCAAAAACATGTTTTATCTAAAATGCAACATTTTTATCTATTTTTTTTTTTTTTTTTTTACAATTTTGGTATAATTCCTGCTCTAAATGGGTCGCTCTGTCAGCTAAAGACATGTTTTAGAGTCTCTATACTCCAGTTAATGATTAATTTAATACTAAATTTGTTGACATTATTTCAATAATTGATTAATCCGATTAATTGTTTCAGCCCTAAATAAAATACATGAAATGGGTTAAACAGAGTAACTACATCCTAGATGTACAACTTGTAGAGTGAGGTTAATATATTAAATGCTCAGTGTCAGTTCCTCTTCTAGTTCCAGGGCACATGTAAATACAATGCATTTATTTGGCGCCCCTTGAATCTATTATTTCGCTTTGTTTCATGATACAAAGAGAACATTTAAAAGAGTGGGGTTTTTTTACCTCTTTTTACCTCTGCACAATTCTATATCTTCAAAATAAAAAAAAAAGTATAAATCCACATATAACAGCTATATTTAGACTATAATCTGTTAAATAGGCACAGATTTACCTACTGTATAGTCGCTGGTAATTTCAAATGCAAACCTTTTCAAAGTGGGAAAAAATACCTAATTCCTCATTCATCAGAGCCAGTTAAGCTTCAGTCGTTGATAAACAGCATCTAGTGTGTGTAGTGCTTATAAAATTTGTATAAATGTAGCAAGAAATGCTGCTTTTCTCTTTAAATGCAATACACCCTGATTTCCACGCATGCATATTTTTGCATAGGACCAATGACATCAGACCAATAGTGTCCCTACCAAAGTTGAAATGAAACCTACCCTTGCTATTATGTTAGGCTCAGATGTCCCTCTGCTGAGAAAACTGTTCACGTATTATCTCATCTTATTATTCATTTTTAATTGGGAAACGGTAACCTCCAAACTGGCTCTGAAATATTATGGGAGTCCTGGCATTGTGTTTTGACTAAAGTGCTAAAGCTTGATTTCATATTAGTTATCAAATGAGCCCAGTAATGTATTTTATCAACATTTCACTGTTAAATCTCTACTTAAATCTACTCTTTTCCAATTAATGAAAAACAAAGAGTATAGACAATGCTTTCATAATCAATCGAAGACCTTTTGCTTCCAATCCAGGAAGCTTTTTCAATTCAAAATGTCAGAATTAGAGTTGGATTCCAAGCTTTATAGAGTAGTCCAAACAAAGGCTTGTTTTGGCTTAGAAAACAGGTAAATTGAACCGTTTTCAGAACCAATGGCAGGATTAATTTATAGTAAATGTAGTACTACAAGTTTTAGACATGTTCTATAGATTATAAATGATCAAACAAGTACACATCTAATAAAAAATGTATTATCAAACACATGTCTGGATAGATTAAACGTTCTTGTTTACGCCGGATTAAAGTGAGACAGATCATTCCGTGAGTTTCCTCACATTTAAGATGTTTACACACATTTCCTTTGGGTTTGGTAGACTTATTTTTTGGTAAACATTTAGCTTCAACAAGCTTGTCTCAATACTTTATTGGGATCATGGGTCATTGCTCATGACAGAACATCTGCAAATGCATAAGTGTTTTCTTTAAGGCTCCCTTGCACACACACACACACACAAAAGCATATACTTTTTAAAATCAGAAACAAGGGAATGAAATAGCCCTATTTGTAATAAACCTGTCTATGACGGTCATTGAAGACCCACATATGCTCACAAATTAGGTTATTAAAGTGCACCATTCCATCATGCTAAACATGCCACAACTTATAGTTTCCACCTCCATACTTCTCAGTTAGTAATTTTGGCCAACCGTCAGTTAAATCAGATTATAGTCTATTTCCTATGTTTATAATTCCAACAGAATCATGTCACCTTAAGCATCTGAAAACTGTTATATAATTCTCTTCCTGATATCTTGGCTGATTTCTTTGAAGAATATTCTAACATTCAGCAAAAAAATAAATAAAAATAAATACAAATTTCCATAACTCAAATGGTTTAGGTAAATATTTGGTTTTCACTGTGAAACAAATCAGAGGAAACGTTCTATTTGTTAGAGATGTCAGCATCTATGACGCATTTCAACTTGTGACCCCAATCAGACAATGCTTTTTATAATGCTGCATGCTGAAGACTCAAAATTGGGGACAGTTGGTGGGATAATAAGCACCATGTTTTATTTAAAAACTTTAAGAAATTTTTGTGTTAGAGCAGTTAGAAAATCTGGAAATCAGAGGCAGTTCTATACAGAAAGCCCAATATGTATAGGGACCCGCTATCTTTACATCAAGAATATAACATGGTGTTTGAATTAAAAGAAGACTGTTTTACTCTCTAACATTTAGGCTAAATAATACATTAAATACATTTGCTGTTTATATAAGTTGTATAAAGAAATTGGTATGTATTTACCTCATTCTCAGACTGTTTGGGGTCCCGAGGAGCATCATCATCATCACAAGATTATGCTCAGACTCACAGTGGGATTAATGCAGATGTGTAATCTCATAGGAATGAACTAATCCTCAACACCAGCTGTTCTCCTAAATCACAGACAGCGTCAGCTCTCTATAACCCAACACTGGCCGTTAGTCGCTGTGCATTCATAGTAGAATAATTGTGAATGAATTTTAAATATTTATCTGCAAACAATCACAAAGCCCTGTCCTGGGAGAGTGTTTATCTGTATAAATGGCAGTGATTCTCAGACTCTCAGACTTGTGGGCGTTTCTTGGTTTTGACCAGGCCCTTCTCCACCAGACAGCGGTAAAATTCCTGGATGTATGTGTACACACATTTCCAGTCCGGCTCCTTCATGCGGACCAAGTCTTCAGCATCCAGCAGAGGTGGGCATCCTGCCAGCCTCCTGGGGACAGGATGTCAGCACAGATAACTCAGACATTATGCTCTCAGAAGACTACATTTATTCATGCTTTACTGAAGAAACGAGATCTCACTCTGCAGTGCTGAAAGCCAGCTGAAAGTTGTCCATCGGCTTGTAGGGGTTCAGGGTGGAGTATTCAAATGCATCTGGGAAAAATCGGTGAACCAAGGCGCAGAAGGCTATGCCATCTTTCCAACTAGATGAAAAGTTCTGGATGTCTACCCCCTGTTTTAGTCACAGGAGAGAAGAATTCCAAGAGCTAAGGCCAAATGAGCTTTAGGGACAGAGCTGCACACAGTTAAGATGGGCAGTAAATCACAGCAAAAAGCCAGCGGGATGAATATTTACCTCATATGGCTCTGTTTTGGCTCTACACCAGTCCAGAAGCATTTGTTTGACATTTTTAGCGTTGGGTGGTTCAGCAGAGGAACATTTCTTGAGTGAGACACCAGCAGGAGCGGCCCTGCATAGGAGACAAAAACACTCAGAGATGACCTCACAGTCAAAAAAGCGTTGTTGAAGAAATGCTGTATTTCTGCTGTTAAGTTGCAAAAGTAAGCTTAGTTCTCCTAGTTTATTCAAACAGGTTAAGTTTATTTTTTGGTTATTGTTTTTTTCCCAACCTTGTTCCGGAAATATAAAATCCAAAAATATCACTTACTTGCCTGCTGTTCTGCTGATTGGAGTGGAGGATGATGGCTGACCTGCTGACTCTTAAAACGCAACACATGAATCATCAGTAGTGATATGAAGCAGACAAGCGGGACATCAGAGAGGCAGACCTACTGTTAGTGGCCGCCTGCTGGTTTATGGATGGTTTTCCGATGCTTCCAGCTCCACCGGTTGTTCCTTCTTTATTCAAGACCTGCTGCCTCAGGTCCTGCTGCCTCACCCCACGTTCCTGCTGCCTCTTTTCTGATCAGAGAAGTTAAACTCAGAAAAGTGTGGGAGTGCATTTGTGTTCAGCTGCCTTAAATATGCTACCCCTAAATAAAATTCTGTCTAACCAACTACCTTCAGAAGTGACTTTAACAGTATATATATTCCTACTGTGTTTATCTAATCTCAATATCACTCCATATTTCCTTTGAAGGAGGTTTGTCAAAGAACATTCGAGAACGAACAGCACCATGAAGACCAAGGAGCCCAGCAGATAGGAAAGGAAAAAAAAGTTAATGAGAAGTTTAAAGCAGGGATATATTTTTAAAACACTTTTCCAAGATGAACATCTCACAGATTACTGTTCAGCGTGAAGAGTTTGGGACAACTACACACCTAACAAAACATGACTTATTAAGCAAATGAACAGGAAGGGAAGATAGACATACAGCCCTTGGTAAACCTCAGGAAACATCAGTAACCTTCAGATTCAGAAGAAAAATTCTACAAAGAGGATAACCAAATGTTTTTTTTCTCTTAATAAACCTGTGTACTGGATGAGTGGCAAAAAGAAGTGTAAAGTTGGGAAATCCCGCACAAGAAATCCCCTTCACAGTTTGCTACAAGCTATTTTGGTGGCGGCATCATGCTGTGGGCTTGAGCTAATGGAAGATGAGATGATTGAGACCCAATAAAGGACAATCCTGGAAGAAAACCTGATGGTGGTTGCTAATGGCTCTCAACATACAGTTAGAGCAACGATATAATAGGTTGGATCTTAGCATATATATTATTCTTAAGCCTCATTCTCACTGAAATTAGCGGGTTAACACAGGTTTTTAAACATGGGTCAACCTGCTAACAATCTGCATTTGAGTCCCTTTCCATTGGCTAAAAGAAAAAAAAAATAAAACGGGTCTGACCTTTCGGCCGATGGTAAGCTGCGTGGCCTCTCGACCCTCACTGCTGCTCACTGTCTCTGGTGACGCCATAACGTTGGGTTAGCTTTGATGATGTCACCAGAAATTTGGAAAGTAAACAATATAGAGCAATATGGAAGGGAGCCAGCGTGTAGTAAGTGTGCTTTTTTGTTTCTCTCCTTTGTCCCTCCAAACCCCTGTCACCAATACTGGATCCTTTTTATTGAATGTAAACAGAATTATTTCAGCTTGTTAGATCAGACGCAACTGTCAGCAGGATGTCTGTACATTGGGCTCAATGACATCACATGGATTAGTGGGTCGACCCCTGCCTGGTGCTCCCACTGTGTGCCGATCAGTGCCGAGGTGATTTTAACATGCGTCGCTTGCTGAGTCGTTTGACCAGGTTAGACGGGGGTCATGGAGCTGTCCCCACTCCCACTAAAGGCCAATTTTTCCTGTGTTTAAATTGGTTTTTCAGCCAGTGTGATTTTTTTTATTTCTTTTATTTTTTAATATACTCTAATAATCCCAGAGGGAAATTTCTTCTCTGCATTTAACCCATCCCCTTGGGGAGCAGTGGGCTGCCATTGTGAGGCGCCTGGGGAGCATTGTGAGGTTAAGGGGACTGGGAAGATTAAACTCACAATCTCAGGATTCAAAGCCCTATGCCCTAACCACTAGGCCGCCACTCCCTAGTGGGGTATTAGAACGATCCGTTTAAAGTCCACAGCTAGATTTAGTTTAAAGTCAGTGGCAAGATTTTAAAAGTGCCATTCACACACATTCACCAAGCTCGAGGAAACAATACATTTTGGCTTCTAACCTCCACTGTTCGCTGAATCTGTAAATACAGGTGGTTTCCCGGCAATTTGAGTGTTGATATAGTCTCACTCTATATTAATCTCTTTATACACCAGGGCCAGAACCTTTTTGGATACCTGTTCACAGCCGCTCTCCATCATATCTAAGCTATAAATAAGAATAAGACCCATTATCTAGGTTTGCAAAGCTTGAAGAGAGAGACTCCAGAAAACAACTGCAGCTGTTAAGTGCAAAGCACCACACCTTTCAGTTTTATATGGATGGTTGAAAGAATTTTACCTCTCTTTTTCTTGAGCAGATCCCTCAAAGCAGCACGGATCATCCTCCTCTCTTCAAAATCAGCTGCATTGTCCAGCTGAGGAGAGATTTAAGCGTAATTTATTAAAACGAAAACAAATAAATTACGTTGTTAGTCGTAAGGTAAGGAGAAGAAATGTGGGAATAGTCTTCCTCTGATGCCAGAAGCTATTTACAGGATTGTAGCATCACTTACCATTTTGTTGAGAACTTCTTCATCCTCAATAGAAGCCAGTTTTTCACTAAGTGATGTTGAGCCTTCACTTTTTGACTCCATGTCTCACAGCAAAACCTGGCTGACTGAAATAACCAGAATCCAAGACGATCTAATTTTAAAGAATATTTGAGAGATGAGATTGAATGAAGCAAAGCTAAATTAGTCTTCCCGACATGTAAAAGCAGAACAAAAATTCCCACAAATCATTTTTTTTTTGTAAGAAATACAACGGAACAACGAGGCACAGATATTTCTTACTCAAACATATACAGCTGCTTCAAAACTGAGCAGCTGTGTGACAAATTATTAGCCCAACTAAAGGGCCTCGTATTGCATCAGAGCAACTGGACTAAAGAAGAGTCCTAAACATGTACAAATATAGTAATGTCATGAAGCTGGTTTCTAAAACAATCTGATGGCAGAACTAAACAATCTGCTGAGACACGGGGAAAATATCTTACTCCTGATGTCACAAAACAAGAAGAATAACATTAAAAATGTTCAATTCAGTGGGTAGATGTCTGGTCCAGCTCACCTGTTATCAGGATGAAAGCCAGCCCAGAGTTCTAGAGCAAACACTCCCGTCCCGTTATCTTTCTTTGCTAAACGACTCTATGAGGAGAAGTCTAGGAGATCGCAGCTTAGATCTCAGTGCTTCATAAGGATGCTTGTTCAGGCAGAGAGTTTGGATTGCTTATACGAACCTCCCATAATAGGATGAAGGAGTAGGAGGAGGAAACACACTGAATCCATCCATCTTTGTCACCTCCACCTCAGAGTCTCTGCTCCTCTTGTCACAGGATCAAGGATGATGTGATTCCAAAGGCATCAGGAATCTCTTCGGATTATTGTTTTATTTTCTGAGCAGAAAGACTATTAAAAGAAAATCTATATAATTTACCTTCAGGGTACAGCTGCCAAAAGGGAAACAAGGGGTTAAAAGGGCAATCAGTGAGGAGTACTGCCTTATTCAGGCAAAAGGCTGAACACCAACTGTTTACAGAAGTGGAGAAATCTTTTAAAGGACAGAGAGAGCACATATTTGGAAATGAATTCAGACACTGGCATCTGCAGGAAAAACATGAGTAAAATATCAAACATCATTAGGGATCATTAAGTTTTAAAAGTTGAAAAATCAGGATAATGAATATGACAAAAGATAAACTGCTCCATCTAGTGTTCAACTCCCAGAACTGCAAAGATCAGTAAAGCAAAGCATGGGTGAGTTCAGAGAACCTCATCTAGCTTTCCTCTAAAGCACTGGGATCGGAGACAATGTTTCTCCTAAACTTAACATCACATCCTAATAATGAAACAGTCGCATTCCTTAATTTCAGTGTCGTATTAAAAAATATATACTGAAACCATAAGGTGATGTGTTAAAGCAGTTAAAGGCAAACTCATTTGATGTATGCATCTCTATACATTTCATTACTGATGTTTTGAAAACATTCTCCCCATTTTTTCATGTTAAAGCCACTAAATCTAAATGTTTTTTATTGGAATTTTTCAAGACACATCAGAAGTTTGCTCATCTAAAGAAAGAAAAAACAACTCTAAGAAAGTAATCTGTAAATTCAGCTCTTATGACTGTAGTCGGTGTTTGAAGATTCAACCTTCTGCTTCTGTTTCCTCTTCAACAGTAGTTTTTAGAGATTCTTTACTCTATATTCAGGTGTGGAATTTTAAGGATTATTGTTAAGCATGAATATATTATGATCCTACCTATTTCTATGTTTAGACACTCTCTTGCTCAATAAGGTAAGTTTTTCTCTAGTTTAAAAATGTTTGCCTCACTTAACAGGTTTTCTTTTAGGGTTACCTTTTCTAGCTTCACTTAACTTACCTGTTTTATCATCACTCCTAAATATTTGTTCCATAAACCCATCCATTGTATTAGGGTGTTTGTCTAGCTTCACCTTATTTTTAACATAGCATTTTGACTGGAGAACCTCCTGCTTCAGCTTGACTGGGCCTTCAGTGACAAACTGCAAAAGGACTTCTCCTTAAAGCCTTTTTTCAACAGCGGTTTTCTTCCTGCCACCGTTCCATAAAGGTTAAATCTTTGGAGCATAAGAATCTTCTTCTACCTCCACAGATTCTCCAACCTGGGCTATGAATGTCTAACCATGCATAGCTTGGCTACTTGTCTGGTTCTGCTTTCTACTCCATTATTTGAGCTAGATAGATTCGTCTTAATACGTTTGTAGCTGAAGCACACTTTCCTTTTCAGGTGTTGATCAGATTTAGGCATTAAGCCTTGGAGTCTGTTGGGTGACATAATTCTTAACACTAACAGGCCTTATATTAGGGGTCTATAGCCTGAAAGGTTCTTATGTTAGGCTTAACATAACAGTGAATTTGTTATTATTTTCCCCCTACTGCTGCTAAAAAGATTAGCATCATAGTCTAAAAACAAAACCTTGGCCACAAACGTAAGAATTTATTTATGTCAGTCAGCTTTGCAAAGAAAACCACCAAATTATTGATGAGGGGCTTGAGTTTCTTTATTTGTTGTTCCAGTCCAGATAATTTAACTCCTTCTTCTCTTTAGCAGGATGTCCAAATAAGGCATAAGGCAAATGAGTCATTATTGGAGCATCTGAGTTTAAACCAGCCGAAAGGGACTAAAAAATACATAAATAAAAATAATTATTTACATCCATCGAGCTTTCTATTCAGAAACAAAAATTTACAAATGAACCACTTTGAAGGCAGCAACTCTATAGCCCTCTGTGCAGCAGAAGCATTGTTTCCCATGTAATATTAATGAGAACAGACATTTTTTTTTACTTATGTAAACAGAATAGATTATAACGGAGAAATTATAAAAATCAATAGCAGTGATATGCAACATTATTAAGTTTTGGATATTACTGAATGAACATCGAGTTAAACAGGTGAGGTATTTCATGTGAGACCAGTTGAAATGTGTGTTACTTGTTCTGTTTATCTCCGATAAATACAGAAAACCACAGAAAAGCAAGCAAACTGTTGGATTTCTTTTAACATTTAAAACCGCATAAGGTTAACCTGCTGTGTTAAATATTTTGTCTGTAAATGGCACCCTGGCAATATGCTAACTTTTTTTTTTTTCAGGCAAAACATGAAAAAAACTATAATGGAAAATTTTCATACAGGAATTATCTGTAAGATCTCAAACTCTGTGCAACAAACATGAGGTGCAAACTACAAAAAGTAAATATTTGTCATAAAAAAACATGCTGAATTGAGGGTGGGTTATTTGGGATAGTAATAGGAACAGCTTCATGCAGTCTGAAGGTTTTGTTCCAAAAGGAAAGCTGAAAGAGAAATGTCTTGACTTGAACAACGCCTAGAGCATTTACAGACAATTTTTGCCAACATTCTCAAAATAAAGAAATCCATATTTTTTTGGGTATAGATACCAAAATTATTTAAAACTCTAAAAATAAAAAGAAAAGGGTTCAAAAGAAATGGTAAACTTTTTTTCCTCTATCTTTTCCACAGGGGGAAAAGAGAGCTAAAGATGAGCATCCCTCCTTAGAGAACCTGTGACACTAATTATCAAAGTATGCTGCGAGGAAGACAACGTGCTCCTGGAAAAGATAGAAGTAATTGAATTAACTCTACAGAGATTACTTCAGAACAGAAAGTAGGCCTTTCAATTGGGGAGTCACAGAAAGGTTCATATTGGAGAACAAAAACACAGATCAGGCCTCTTATTAAATATGTGCTTCAGTAGAGAAGAGACATTTTTAAGCTCAACAACATCCGTTTCTTGTTTCACATAAGAAAAAAAAAGCTGCCATTAAAATCTCAGTCCCTGTCCACAGTGCAACAAGGTAGGAGTCGGGTAACAGTACCATAAATATAGCTTCCTAATACAAGCTGAGCTTAATCAGGTTCAGAGCATTTTTTTAAAAGTCCCTGGTAACCTGAACATCACTGCAGAAGGACAACCGCCACCGAGAGACGCTGATTACAGCCTTCTGGAGCTGGAACGTTTTTTGTTTCTTTTTCACAGTGGAGTAGTGCGAGGGACAGTCAGTAACTTCAGAGGTATCAAACAGTTCAGTGTGCTCATGCATGCATTTAGTGTAACAGGCAAGTTAGGAGTGCTTTTTACAGATAGGGAATACATTTGAACCTTTTCCATGAAGAATGATAATATTTGTTTTTCTGTGCACACTCAGATTTTGCCACAAAATACGCAGGCGTTGGCACAAGGGGGTGAAAATGAGCTGCTACTCCATCTGAGACTGGAACCACTAAAATAGAACAAAATACAGCAGATCCTGTACTTTTTTTAACTTTATACTCTTTATGCTTTCAGTTCAGTCTGTTTTGTCTTCTTCTTTTCCGTCCACTCTCTGTGTATGGTTTGTTTTCTCAACTCCATCGTCTGCCTCTGCGGGCTTAGCGCTGCGAGCATCCATGTAGCTGACGATGAACTCAGAGTTCTGATAAATGAGCATGCCGGACAGCGTCAGCACCGCTCCGGCGCAGCTGAGCGCGGATAGCTCGCTGCCAAACAGCAGCTGAGACAGGAGGAGGTTGCCCACGATGTTCAGGTTACCCAGGATGTGCAGGGTGACTGCCGAGGTGAGCGTGATGACGCAGCAGCTGGACAGGTTGTACATGACCGATCCCAGACAGCTGAGCAGGATGAAGACCCACAGGTGACGGTCGTAGTGCAGCGGCGACTCCAGCATGGCCCAGTTTTCTAAGGCCAGAGCGGCAACGGCCAGGATGCAGAAGCTTGGAATGGACATCAAGTAGAGCAGGAACACAGAGTTGATCTTCTCCTCCTGGAGCAAAATACCTGAGAAAAAAAAAAAAGAAGAAATAAAACACATCGTATTTAAAGGCCAGATATGCACTATATTGCTTTTCAACTTCACACAGACATCCCCTTCTCCCTCCAAAAGAGTTTCATATAACATTGACCCATGCTTTACAGCTATAACAGCTTGAGCTCTTATTATTGAAAGGTTCTACATGTGAGAGTTTTTTATATTTTCAGATCATTACTCCAAAAGTGTATCTAGAAGGTCAGACACCAATGTTTGATGAGAAGACCCAGCTAACAGTGTCTTCTTTATTTAATCAAGATAAGGTCAGGCGCCTCCACCAAACCAATCATTAACGTCTTAACATACGTTTTTTTGTGTGCATTTTTTGGAGTCTTATTGTAAAAGAAAAAGTCAATTTCCAAACTCTAACGGAGACAGCTCTACATCAAAATCCCCTCTACTCCAAATGTCGTACTCAACACACTGAGTACCACACTGGTCTATTTTCTCACTAGAGAGGGGAAAAAAAGCAACACAGCAACAGACATTTTTTTTCAAGCTGCTCTGCAGTGAAAACCTTCTGTCAAATAAAATGTGTAGGTCTGCAGCTACTGACTCTGCAGAAAGCTGTTAATTTCGGAGCAATAACAGCCTCAGAATCCACCCACCTATTTCTATCATTTTAGTTAGAATTGCAAATTCTTTGTGCACTGTTGGCAAAGCAAGAATAAATGTTTTTAAATCTGTGCTATTTTACGAGCCTACTCCTTGAAGTACACCCTCCTGACATCTCACAGATAAAATTAGATGTTTATGTTACATATTACATTACATTACACCAGACTGACAGAGTACTATCAAAGAGAAGAGTCTGATGCCTTCACT